ATTTCGACTTTTATTTAAAATTAAATAAATTTTCATTATAAAAGCGTGAAATATTATGTATCAGTTATAAAATAAATCCAAAGAATTTAAATTTTAATAATTACATGTCAAAGTATTTGAACAGTTTGTGTATCAATTTTACTCGGCAACGTCCATACCACGCTGAAAGCACCAAGGACAAAATAAAAGACGAAATTACTGATTCAATGAACGAATATTGGGACAGTAGAATTCGCAATATTTCACATACAAAGTCTAATGATATGTTTCCGGAAATTAATAGATTATTTAGAAAAAACGACGAAATTATAGTTCCTCCTTTAAAGTTAAACGGCAATAACATAAATATTCTTATAAATGCAAACGTTAATTTTAACAATGTTGTAAAAGATTCCGATGATAACTTTGTAATATATGACATTCATCAGAAACTAAATGTTTTAGGAGCACATTTTGCATCAACTAATATTCAAAATAGATGTTTGGGAAAACCAAAACTAAATAAAATTATAAAAAATAATACTAAGGCCATTATTAATGAAATCGTGAATGATCAAACCAATAATAAGTGTATTTGTCGTTTCCATGATTCAAATACCGCTGATTTTCCCGTAGATAACATTGAAATTCCATATTTCTTTACAAATTCTTTGATACTTAAGAAAAAGTTTAAGAAACTTAATAATAAAAAATCATCAGATAGAGATCAAATTTCCAAGTTGTATTCAAGCATATTCCGGACAAAATTATATATTATTACACTATTCTTTTTAACAATATGCTAAACAATATGTACTTTCCACAAAATTGGAAAAAAGTCAAAGTGATAGCTATACCAAAAAAAGGAAAAGATAGAACATCTCCCTCTAGCTACAGGCCCATCAGTTTGTTGCCCAATATCGGTTAAGTCTACGAAATGGTAATTAATGATATCATAAATACCTTTTGTCGAACAAATGATATTATACCTGATAATCAATTTGGTTTTCGATTGCGCCACTCTACAATTCATGCTATCAGTAAGCTTGCCTCGGACATTCATTGGGCATTAAATGGGGATAATTGCTTGGGAGCATGTCTAGTTAATCTCGAAAAAGCGTTTGATACAGTATGGCAAAAGAGACTTATCTTTAAATTGAAAACGAAAAAATTTCCATCTCCGTTGACTAAACTTATTTGGAACATGATAAGAGATAGATCTTTTCACACTTTTCACAATAATGTAATTGCTTCCAAAGAATTTCTTATAAATAATGGTTTACAACAAGGCACTATAAATTCTCCGATTCTATTTAACATTTACACTTGTGATATTCTGAGATTATTCGGTTTGAATAATACTAATTGCTCATTAATAGCCTACGCAGATGATCTCATAGTGTATAATGCAAATAGAAATCTTTTAACTGTACAGTCGGAACTACAACTTGTTATAGATAAAATTTTCGATTTCTATCACACTTAGAAACTTAAAGTCAATACCAATAAATGTGAAACCATACTTTTTAGACCCTCCATAAGACATGCTAGGTCTCAAATCAGTCGACGTTACAAAAAGTTTCATAAAAAGAAAACAATGTATCGGATAAAATAATAAATCATAAAATATCTGTTCGATATTTAGGTATGCTTTTGGACGAAAGAATTCTATACCATAAGCGTGTAGA